GGTTTGGTCCTCCATATAAAAAGGCCGTGTTTCCAAAAATGAGGACAGGACCTTAGTGTGGGTCATAAAACACCAACAGAGAAAACATGAGGTGATCTCCAGAGTTGAATACRTTTTAAATGTTTGTTAATGAGGAATTGTAGCTTAATAGTAGAAACAAACAGCAGTCAGTGCAATGGTTGACAACATGTTGGGTTTTCTTCTTTACGTTTTTTTCCAATATATTTTTATTCAAGAAAGCACAAGGCACGCCACGTACATCAAAATACAGTAACTCGAGTTGAGTTTGTTTTTCCTTTTGACAATCAAACCACACATWCATTAAAAAAGTGTGGGGGAGAGACAGAGAATGGGGGCATTACTTATTTAAATACATGTCAATAAATAGACATAATCAATTATATTTTAGGGTTCTATAGGCTTGTGGAAGGGACTCTAGATTTTAGGGTCCYACATTTTGTGGAATTGTCTCGTTGAGCCTCTGGTAAAGTATTTAATTTTCTCTAATTTTAAGAAAAACATTAAATCTGTGAGTCAGACTGAGACTTTGGGCGGTTCAGAAGATTTCCAGTGTAAAACTATATTTCTACGGGCTATCAAGGAAGCAAAGGCGAATGCATTCGTCTTATCAATGGATATCATGTGCTCCTCAGTCAACACTCCAAATATGGCCATTCCTGCAGACGGTTTGATTTTGGTATTAAATRTTTTACAGATAGATGACCAAAAATCAGTTAATTTCGGGCAACTCCAAAACATATGGGTCATATTTGCTGGAGCAGAATGATACCACTTCACACCTGTCATCAATGTCATTATAAATTTTTGAGAGCCTAGATTTGGTATAATAAGTTCTATGGAGGATTTTGAACTGTATTAGGCTAAGTCGTGCACAGGACGATGTTCCATTGATTCTTTCCAGAGCACATTCCCAGAAATACTCACCAATAATGGATTATTAGTTCTTTACTAGTAACTCTAACAAACTTTGATCAGTGATGGTCAGGGTCCAACATTAAAGTTATTTTATGGGTCAGAAGCTGAAAAAGGTTGGAAATTGTCAGTTTAAAAAAGGTCTGTGTAGCAATCACCAACATCTTGTTTCACCCCTGAGKTGAACTGCACAAACTCTACAAGCASTGAGTAACCAAGCATGAAGTGTAGCTCAAGTGTCAGGGGAGTAATTAGGACAGGGCTTGCCTTGCCAAAGGGCACCTCAGCCAAAACTGAAAATAGAGTCAGGCACTGATAGTTCACTCTCACTACTAACATTATTATTTTTCCTGCTGTTCTGGGAAATGAGTCAACAATGCTCGAGTCCCAAGTCTTCTCYGTATCGTCTAACAAACCGGCTGCTTGGATTGGCAACTAACTGGCAACCCTTAAACTGCCACACACTGGTTAGACTGAATATTTAAAATATTTTTATGGAAGAAACACACAACTTAGAGTCTGAACTCGCTTACATGAAGGGATATTTGAGAGTTGGTGAGACACTTTAAATAAAATCTACAGATTAAGAGCCTGGGACTGTTTTTGCTGCAGAGAGAGGGTAGATGTGGTGGTAGTGGTGGTGGTGTGTGGGGGGATACATGTGAGTGTGTGGGAGAGGAGATTCCCATCTGCAAGTGTTTCCCAAGAATCTGCGAAGGGAAGACGATGACCTCCGTCTTCCGACACACAAACACARCTCCTAATCATTTCCTGACGACGTCAAAGTTAAAACAAAATCCTAAAACCAAATAAATAAATAAATAAAATAAAGTTCTTGCACCGACCCCAGGGTTTTTGATGCACTGTTTAAAAACAAGCACAAACACACTCAGAACATTCAAAAAGCTCAAATCAAACAGATGTTCCAATTTTCTCTTTGACCCTGAAGTCACCAAAGCAGGAAGTCACAACTCAGGRCGGAAACAACCCAGAACATACATGATGGATGAAAGCTCCTCTATGAATAAATAAAAAGCAGCCACTGTCCAAYTTCTGGATGCTTCAAACGTGTTCCAGCTCAAATGAGAGGGCAGCACTTGTGTGTTGTTAAATGTTTGTGTAGTTTTAGTTCTCAGCGTGAGAAAGCTCTGCCCTGAGTGCTGCTCTGTGTGGAGAAATAATGCAACTTACTGATATTTTTTTCGCACATATAAATGGTGGCAGCAGCAGCTAGCTGTAGCACTTCAGCAAAATGTAAATATTCTGTCATTTTAACAGTTTAATTTGAAATTGACAAATTCTTAACAAATAAGATTTGCATGAACCAATTTGACCTATTGAAGCAGGGAGTGATGAAATCAACCTAACTTTTGATATTTTATTATATTTTATTATTAGAGTTAGAGTTTGTCAAAACATTAAAAAAACAATTTAAGTTACGTAAAATTTGGTTTTTAATCCCATTAAGCTCTTTGGTAATGAGAAGTCACAACATGGTGTCACCCTCAAGTGGAGAATGGTAGCATTACATCATGTGAGGCTCATGGAATTAATAAAAGAGATGACTATTGATCAAAAACAGTATTGYGTAAGTGTTTTTGTTAATTTAAAGAAGGCTTTTTACACTATTAGCCATAATAWCCTTATTGAAAAGTTGAATAAATATGACAGAAGATGATACAGTGAGTATAGTTATTTGAAAAATAGAAAACAGTTTGTTCAAGAAAGTAATGTAAGATCTGAATTAATATAAATTATGCAGTCCCTCAGGGTTCTGTGCTTGGACCAAAACTGTTCATTTTATATGTGAATGATTTGGTCAGTGTTTTAAAGCTTTTAAAATGTATTTTGTTTGCTGATGACAACATTTTTATTCTGATGAAAATATTGAACAGATATTTGGAGGTAACACAGACAGAAGTTATAACAATACAAACTTGGTTTCAACTGAAGTTATTAYTGAATTTGAATAAACCAAACTACATGATGTTTGGTAATAGAAAAATCTATTGATGTCCCTTTTAGAATTGACAGTGTTGAGATTTATAGAGTTAGAGGTGAAATTTTTTGATGTCATTGATGTAAAGCTGACATGGAAATCTTATAGCAAAATCAATTGCATTGCTGTATAAAGTAAGTGTTATTAAATGATAATGCTTTCTATGTATTGTACAATGTATAATGTAACGATAGTTTCACATTTAATCTATCAAAGTTTGGGGAAAAGCATTTAAAACAATTACAAATCCTTTTTGTAAAAAAATAAATAAATAAAGTGCTATATACAGTAGAAAACCTTATGGTCACCCATCAAATACATTATTTTATCAGTTGAAATCCACATCCACATCATTAGATTGTTCAACTTTGTTTTTCCTGCTAACATAAATGGCTATCTTTGCTGATGCCAAAATGAAATTAAACAGTTGACATTTATCTTTATGCTTCCTTGAATGTCTGTATCCAAGAATGAACATCTGTGTGGAGAAGGTTTCATGACATAGTGTAAAAAAAATCCTCTCAGGAAAAGAAAAAGAGGGTCTAAACGACTGCACAACATGAAACAGTGGAACACARTTTCTTTGTGGGAACAAAATGGGCACTCAGAGCTCACTGTGGGKTTAATAACYGATACAAAAGAGTTTACAGCTATTGCTCCATGCAGAATTCTCCACTGCAAGTCTGCAACTCTTTTTGCAAGCGGTGGCTTGTAGAATGCTCTCCATTCAGGGCCAACATCTTCTCTGAGAGCAAAGTGAAACCTCCAAAGTGTGTCGGTCTTACTGTTAAGCTTGTCTTTATGTAAGACTTGAACAAATAATCTATACATTTGTTTACCCTTAGCAGCTTGTATTGAACCAACGGACTTGCATTTTAGCAGCGGGCCACTGGAGTCCCTAAAATCTGGGAGAATGTTTACAGTGGGAAAATCATCAACAACAACAGAAAGGTCATGACTGCTGGTGAGCTGGTGCAACAGAGTCAATTCAGAGTCTGACAGAACTGTTTTCCACTCTGTGAGTAGCAGAGCCACCACCCGGACTGACTTCACCCCCACTTGGGAGGC